GCGCGTAGGCTTCTCTAACCTTCTGCTGCAGATCCTTTCCTATATCGAGGTAATGTACTATTGCCCCAAAGTAATCTGCTCTCCTACTCAGAGCACCTGCGACTACGTTGTACTTCCCTTTGACAAGCTTGAGCTCGAAGTCGTACCGATCTATCTCTGCGGCCCACCTAGTAAGCTTAGGAGTCATCTTGGCCTGGGTCTTTAACCACCGTAACGTTTCATTGTCCGAATAGACATTGAAGTGCCTCCCAAGCAAGTAGTGCTTCCAGTGCTCTAATGCTTGCCTGAGAGCGTAGAGTTCCCTCTCACAGGTAGATGTCGCAACCTTCTTTGAAGGCATCCTAGCGGATATGAACTCTACGGGTCTATAGCCATTGCCATCGTCTTGCTGTAACACTGCGCCTATGCCGTACTGGCTAGCATCCGTAGTAACAACAAAAGGCAAGGACAGATCGGCGACCTTAAGGACAGGATACTCTATCAACGCCTGCTTTAGGTTTTTCATGGCGGACGTGCAGTCCTTGTCCCACTTCCAGATTGTCTATTTTCTCAACAATCTGCGAAGGGGTGCAACGATGGTGGAGAAGTTCCTTACGAACTTCCTGTAGTAATTYGCTAAGCCCAGGAACGAGCGTAACTCTGTCAACGTACGTGGCGTGGGCTAATCTCTAATCGCTGCGATCTTGCTATCTTCTGGCTTAACGCCGTCTCCGTCTAAGACGTGGCCTAGATACAAAACTTGGGTCTTCGCCCAATCGCAATTCTTTGCATTGATCTTGAAGTTAGCTTCTCTCAGCTTCTCCAAGACTCACCTGAGATGACCCTGATGCTCTTCGAGGGTTCGGCTAAACACTAGGATGTCATCTAGATAAACTACAACGAATCTGTCTAACCACGGCCTAAACAAATCATTCATAAACCGCTAAAAAGTTATTAGCGCATTGGTTAGTCCAAAGGGCATCACTATAAACTCATAATGCCCATACCTAGTCCGGAAGGTTGTCTTATACTGATCATCAGGGTGTACCTCTATCTGATGATATCCGGACTTTAAGTCTATCTTAGAGAAATACTTAGCCCCCTGCACTCTATCCAAGAGATCGTCGATCCTAGGCCGTGGCTCAACATTCTTTACTGTAATAGCATTCAGACCCCTATAGTCTATGTACATCCTTAGCTCTCCCTCTTTCTTAGGTACAAAGAGAACAGGGGCTCCAAAAGGAGACGAACTGGGCCTAATTTAACCCTTTTCTTCCGCAGCTCCTCTAACTCCCGTGGGGACATCCTATACACCGCACCCTTACGGGTTCTACTGTCAGGCTCTATCTCA